AAAACAAAAGGTGGCTTTACTGATTTTCCGGCCACTTTTTTTGCCAGAATGCAGCTAATCTCTTACTAAAGTACAAGTTTTAAAAGGGAGCACAGTAGCTCTGAAGGATAAGCATAGGACTGTGAGCCACAACGTTGGCTGTTCGAGACCACCAGTTGTTCCACAAGAAAAAGATGAGGCTCTCTTTTCCCATAAGATTTAAAGCCTCGGAATGCCTATACAGATCTCTATGAGTTGGAACCAACTCAATGACACGTAACAATAACAGTACCAGGACACTCAATGAATCAAGACTAATTTGCTGAATAGTGGGTTATGCGTTGGGATGGTAACCACAAGGTCAGCAGTTCGAATTCACAAGCTGCTCCCTACATAAGATCGCTATGAATCAGAATCGACTTGATGGCAGTGGAAATGTATTGAAGGACAGTCCAAGGTATCTAGTAAGTACACTCATTCTCTAGTCACACACACATTCCTATTTGTCTCAGGCATAAAGTAAATATTCCTATATATTTTTTAACATACTCATGAGTCTAGAAACAGATTCATGCATATATGAACACTTGATTTATGACAAAGACGGCTCTACAGAAAGTGGCAAAAGAATGGCCTTTTCCAAAACTGACTCTAGGTCAACTGATTATCCAGATGGAAAAGAATACAACTAGATCCTTAGCCCTCTTTCAGACATACAGAAACATTTCTTCTAGGTATACTGTAGATCTAGAAGTGAAAGATAAAAACAACACAATTTCCAGGAAATACTATGGGGAGATAGCCTCATGACCTTGGTATAAAAAAAATGATTTCTTAAATAGGAAACAGAAAGCAGTAACCTACAGTAAAACGTATTCATCAAGAATACCATTAAGAGAGTGAAAAGGCCAACCAACCACAGACAAGTAGAAGATATTTGCAATGCATAAAGTCCAAAATATGAATAAGAACTCACTAAGAAAAAGAAAGGGAAAAAAAGACAATAAATAGAAAATTAGACAAGAGATAAAGGCACATCTCAAAAGAAACATCCAAATTATCAATAAATGTATAAAATCACCCTCATTAGGAATCTGTGAAATGAAGATTAAAACTACCAAGAGTTTCACTGCACTCATTCATTAATATAACTAAAATTCAGCAGATTAGCATTATCAATCAAGTGTTGTACTGTAGCGCAATAGGAACATACGATACTCACTACTAAGACTCTAAGGAGCTCTGGTAGCATAGTGCTTACAAATGGGCCTGCTAATCTCATGGTCAGCAGTTCGAAACTACCAGCTGTTCCACGGAAGAAAGATGAGGCTTTCTAAAACTACCAGCTCTTCCGTGGGAGAAAGATGAGGCTTTCTGCTCCCATAAAGATTTACAGCCACGGAAACCCTGTGACAGGGTCACTATGAGTCGGAACCAACTCCACGGCACATAACAACAACAACTAGGACTCTGGTGTGGCACTGTAGGATAAGAAGTTAACGGTGAACCAAAAGGTCGGTGGTTCAAACCCACCAGCTCCTTGGAAACCCTATAGAGGGGTGCTATGGGTCGAAATCAACTCAAGGGCATTTAAAAACAACCACCATCAAGTAGATTCCAACTCATTATAACCCTGTTGTTGTTGTTGTTGTTGAGTGCTCTCGAGTCAGTTCTGACTTATAGCAACCCTGTATAGGGTTTCTGAGAAATAGCTGGTGAGTTTGAACCACCGACCTTGCAGTTCAAATCAACCTTGTGGTTCAGTGCTTTATCCCACATAGGACAGTAGAACTACTGCATAGGGTTTCCAAGGCTATAAATCTTGGGGGAAGGAGACTGCCTCATTCTTTGGTGGGTTTGAACTACTGACATTTGGTTAGCAACCAGCTCCTAACCACATTGATAACTCCAAAACCCAACCAAACTCAATGCCATCAAGTCGAGTACGATTCACACAGACAGAACTGTTCCATAGGGTTTCTAAGACTATACATCTTTACGGAAGCAGATGATCTCATACTTCTCCCACAGAGCAGCTAAGGTGGGTTTGAACCACCGACCTTTCTGTGAGCATTCTAATGCTGAACCCTCTATGTCACCAAAGCTCCTAACCACTTGGATAGTGGTTCATATGAATACCATATGATCTAAAAATTGTACCAAAAAGTGTGGGCAAGAATAGTCATAGAAAAACTATTCTTAAAAGTCCGAAGTAAGCCAAATATCTATCAAGAGTAAAATGTATGTATAAATATAATATTCATATAATGGAATACTACAAAGCAATGAAAATGTACAAACTATCTCTGCAGTCACATGAACAAATCTCACCAACAGAATGTTGAGATGAAAAAGTCAGTCACAGAAGGATAAACATTGTTGTTGTTGTTGTTGTTGTCAGGTGCCATCGAGTCGGAACCGACTCATAGCGACCCCATGCACAGCAGAACGAAACAATGTCCGATCCTGGGCCAACCTCACTACCGCTGCCACACTTGATGCCATCAATGATGCCACCTGGCCAATCCATCTCGTTAAGGGTCTTCCTCTTTTTCTCTGACCCTCCACCTTACCCAGCATGACATCCTTCTCCAGCGACTTTTCTCTCCGGACAATGAGTCCAAAGTATGAGAGACGAAGCCTAGCCATCTTGGCCTCCAAGAAGCACTCTGGCTGCACTTTTTCCAAAACAGATCTATTGGTTCTTTTGGCAGTCCATGGCACTTTCAGTATTCTCCTCCAACACCACAACTCAAAGGCATCAATTCTTCTACGATCTTCCTTATTCACTGTCCAGCTTTCGCATCCATATGAGGCTATTGAAAATACCATGGCTTGGGTCAGGCGCACCTTAGTCCTCAAGCTGACATCTCTGTTCTTCAATACTTTAAAAAGTTCCTGTGCAACAAATTTGCCCAATGCAATAGGATAAACATTAGATGTTCCATTTATTGTTGGTGTTAAGTGCCATTGAGTAGGTTCCACCATCCTCAGGTACTGGAGGAGGAGAGGGCAAAGCGGTCTGACTACTCATGGACTCCTCTGAGAGCCTACGCACAGGGCCCCAGGGAGGCAGCTCAAGCGGAAGCAGGTAACCCAGAGCCTCGGAAAACAATATCCAGAGAATGTGTCTCCAACCTCTACAGTGAGAGTTGGAGTTCTATTTATAATGAGTTCAAAAGTAGGTAACTCTTAACTATAGTGATATAAACCTGGAAAGGGGTTATCTTTGGAGAGTTGGGAAAGATTTGTGATGAGGGAAGGGTCATCCGTAGAATTGTCAGATATAATACAAGCTAAATTTTCATTTCAGATAAACAGCAAATCATGTCAGTATAAGTATGTCCCATGCAATATCTGGGATACGTAATTTTATTTTTCTAAAACTGTCAATCCTAGTCATGGGTGAGACTTTAGGGGTACGGGGAATGTTCTATTTCTCTTGACATTCACTTCATAATAATCCAGTGTGCATTTTTCCTTACACTGTGCTTCACAGTAAAAGAAAAGGTTCAAACAAACAAAAGGAGCAAAAAAAACCAGCCTTGCAGGTTTTTAAATATCTCAACCAGCCACTATTTTTCCTCCCTCCCCCCCCCCCAAGTCATTGCGTGTGAGAACTGTGACATCAGTAATGGGAACGGTTGCTGGGCCAAATGCTGGGGGCTTCACTTTTTAATTTTTATTAAAATTACTTTTACACAGCATGTTTCTTCACTTTTGGAATATTTTTTTTCTATGCCCTGCCTCTCTGGGCCCACTCTTATTTGGAAGGCTGGCTTAAGCTTACCAAAGAGCAACCCTATGCTGGAAGACCAGCCTCTCTACACACCAGTCAAAAAACGCACACATCACTGTTAACGCACTGAACAGACACACATGGGGATCAGAATCCTGTGGTCTACAAAGGCTACAAAGCTGACCAGTACTTTAGAGTCAGCAACTGTGATACAGACATGTTAGGAATTCATAAAGTAGAATACTTTAAAATTTTACAAGTTGTTGACAATTGCCTTTGAGTTGATTGGGACCCCATGTGTGCAGAGACAAACTGCTTCTGCGAGGTTTTCAAGACTGTGACTTTCCAGAAGCAGATTGCCACACCTGTCTTCTGAGGTGCCTCTGGGTGGGTTCCAACCGCCAACATGTCAGCTAGTAGTCAAGTGCTTAACTGCTTACACCACCCAGTAGCTCCATCTACTTCCCTCCCATTAGTTTGTTATTTACCTTCTCCTGCAAACACAACTAGTGGACCCAAATAAAGAGTAATGCAAACAAAAGTCTGAATTGCTTTGCTGTTGTTTAAATAAGGTGCTATTTATTGGCCAAAGTTCATTAATACTCAAGAGTATTTTGTGTTGTTTTGTACCTTCGTCTGGTTTTGAAATAATTCGATATAATCCCTACCAATTAATCGTCTGGGTTCCAATCTGCCCCACCCGCTTTGAGAGTGCCAGATTTCTTTGCTTTACTAATATGAAACTACATTTACCCCTTTCACAAGGTGCACTGAAAATAAATGATTAGAGTCTTTGGGCTATGGAGACAAGTTGCCTGGAAGAAATTCAACTCCAGCTTTGAGATCATGTATCTCTGGGTCAGTAATTGACTCTGTGCCTCAGTTTCCTCAAACGTAAAACGGGTGTAATAATAGTACCTAATTCAAAAGGCTGTTGAGGGCATCAAATATGGCGATTAAAACAGTTCCTGAACATCTTAAACACTCAACATCTCAAGTATTATTGTCATTATTATCATCATTTACTTTCAAGGGTCTGGCCACCTATAAGGACTTGTGTGTCTAATGTAGGAAAAGCACCCAGATACAATTGGGGTCAGAGGTGAGAGGAGGAAAAGAAATAAGGTTTTTCATTCTGCATATAAAGTTTGGTTCAAGTTGCACCCAACCTGCAGGAGGAGAACCAGCGATGGTCTCAAGTGGGATCGCTGTCCACACCCAACCCTGGCCGGACCCCAAACTCTGCCCCAGACCTCTGACCTCGGGTGTCCTCACTACTCACGTTGCGATTGAAGCTGTTGCCGGGCAGCAGGGGTAAGGCCATGGCTCTGAGCTTCCAGGCCAAGGGTCGGAAAATATAGGGCTCAGCAGGCAGCAGCCACCAGGTGGCTGCGTCGTTTGACCTCAGGTTACCTGGAGACCAGAGGTGATGCAATAGAAGGGGGAGGGGCCAGGCCGCCCGGCTGGGTCGGGTCGGGGGCTTGGGGCGGGTCTCAGGCGACGGGGTGGGGCGGGGTTTGGGCGGGGCTCGAGTGGGTTCTCTCGCCGGAACTAGAGTGGGGGGAGGGAAAGGGAGGAAGAAGAGAGGGGAAGAGGCGGGGCGGAAAGGGCTCTTTCTCAGCGCCTACTGACTGTCCTCCTCTTACCCACAGACTGTCAGCTGGTTGCAAGTCTCTCTGATCTTCTCTCTAAATGCTTTGTGCACACACAAAGACTGACAGCCATACCATTTCCCCGCCCCCCGCCGTTGGATGGTTTAACCCCTTTATAGATCTCACAGTCTTCTGTGTACTTAAGCTCCTCCTCACCTCACCTCAACATCATCAGCCATTTGGTTATTAAATTTAGTTATTGAATAGTACAAACAAAATAAATATACACATGTATGCTCACTGATACGTAACACAATATTTTCCTATGGTGCATTTGCATTCACTTTTTTTTTTTCTTTTTAACTCAAATGTTCAAGACGAATCTAAGCGAGAGAAAGATGAGGCTGTCTGCTCCCATAATACAGTCTCAGAAACCCTATATAAGGTTGCTATGAATTGACTTCGTGGTGGATTTGTTTTTGGTTTCAATGAATCTTAAGTCACGCGTATCCTATCCATCCCCCCCCCCCCACACAAAAGCCCGTTCCAAGGGTAACCACCATCCCAAGTCTATTCCTTGTACATTTTTATACTTGAAGTAAATATGTCATAATCATGGGGAGGCCAGGTGGCACAAAACGCAGCCCCATGTTCTGGTCAGGAATCTCTATCCCTTTCCTCACACCTACAGCTAATACCTCCTGGCCTCCTACTGTTTAGAAACACTGATTTCTCTCAATCGCCACTTCATCTATCTCAGTTGAGACCCCATTATTTCATGTCTGGCATTCCTTTTTAAAATGAATAAAAAAGAAAGAAAGGGGGAAATAAACTGATCTTGCCTTCAGAACCACACTTTTAAAATTCACAATGTACCTGTTACTCTTCTGCTTAAATAATTTTCTAGCCTTCCTTCAGAAGGCAAGAGACCATCAGACTCCTTACCCTGCACTAAAAAGCCTGTGCCAGGGTCACCTGGCAACACCCTCGGTGCCTTTCTTTGTCTAGCCTCTTCTACTCCAGATCTGAAAAGCCACTGGGATTTTGCAAATGCCAATACCTGTTAGAATCACCTTTCCCTCTTTTGACCTTGTTAAAACCCACTTGTCTTTCAGGACTTGGTTCAGTGTGGGAGAGAGGCAAGGACAGCTTTACCCATGTCTGGGAAATGTTCCTTCACCTTCTCTCTGCCCCACCCCACCTTTCATCTTTATTAGGTACCCATTCTATGTTGTAATCACATGTTTGCTTGACTCTCTTTAAATACACCAAAATTCCTCCAAGGCAGGGACTACATCTCCTTTTTTTGTTTTGTGTTGTTTTGGTTTTTGGTTGGGTTTGGTTGGACTGGTTTGTTATGTGGCATGTCAGCTAACGTGCTGGACTGCAATGTTGGTGGTTCAAGCTTACCAGCCACTCCTTGGAAACGCTATACAAGGCTGCTATGGGTCAGAGCCAACTCAGTGGCACTTACCAACAATAACAAGCTACAGAAAGTAAATAAGCATATTGGTATGCTTATTTAATAAGCACTCAAATTAAGCATTTGCTAGCATTTTGTCATATTTGCTTCAAATTCTTTTGTTTTTAAAGAAATAAAATATTGTGGATTCCATTGAAGCTCCATTTATAGCCCTACCTAACTCCATTGCACTGTAGGATATGCGCTGGACTGCTAGCCACAAGGTCAGCAATTCAAACCCACCAGACACTATGCAAGAAAAAGGAAACTTTCTGTTTCTATAAAGATTTACAGCCTGGGAAACCCTATCCATGGCAGTGAGTTTGGGTTTTTTTAACTCGATTCCCCACTCTTTAATGTTGCTTTGTACCCTTCCTCCTAACCAGATACTGTATTTATTCACACAAAAAAAAAAACGTTGTTTTCTGTGTTTATAAACTTTACGCTATAAATTTCAGCTACCTGCTCTTTTCATTTAAGATTTTACTTTTCAGATTCCTACATGTTAACACACGTAGCTATATTTCATTCATTTTAAATTTGTGGTATTACTATCGTATACATGATCTAGTCTCAATTGATGCCAATTAGTTGTTCCCAGTTTTTCATTATTGTCAACTGTGATGCAATGAACACCCCTTGGCATAGAAGGTAGAAATTGTCGAGGATATATACCTAAAAGTGTAGTTGCTGGACAATAGGGGTATACATACTTCAATTTTACTTGATCTTGTTCAATCATATCTAGAATAATTGACGCAATTAAGAAAGTTAAAGACAAAGAAAGTCCTCTTTCCTCTTTGTCCTTTCCAACAACGGGTATTATCAAATTTTTAAATTCTGAATACTCGTCAGAACAAACGTGAAAGATATGCTGTTGTTATATTAATTTATCTTTATCTAATTATAAGTGCAGTTGGTCATCTTTCACATGCTTATTATCTTCTATTAATTAGCTATTCATATCCTTATTGTTTTTTCCACTGGATCATTTGTGATTTTCTCATTAATTTGTAGTTATATAAATATACGTTTGACAATAATCCTAGCCATAGAAAACATCTTCTTGTTTGTGCTTTCTCTTTTAATTCCATTTAAAGAGTTCTTCATTATACAAAAAAATTGTGATTTTACTCTATGCAAATGTATGTTCCTTTCCCATTATGATTTGTGCTTTGTATACTTTTCCAAAAGAACAAAGCTACTCTCCTACTTTTATTGCAAACATTTTATATTTTCACTTTTTAAATGTAAATAATTTCACACTTTAAAAAAAAAGTTGCAAAATATTACCAAAGGCCCCTTCATCCAGATTCCTCTGTTTTTTGTATATTTCATAACATTCTATTATGTACTCTATATATACACACATAGTTTTTCCATTTGAGAGTAAATTGTAGGCATCATGTGCATTTACTCCTAAATATCTCACTGTGCGTTTCTGAAGAACAAGAAGATCCACTTATAGTACTGAAATAGTTCTGTAATACAGTTTGATGATCAAAATCAGAAAATGATCTAGTTTAAAAATGCATGTAAATATTGCCAATTGTTCCAAATAGTGTCCTTTTTAACAAGAAAAAAAATTATTTAAAAATCGAACTCAGAATTTGATCCAACATCACATTTTGCACTTAGTTGTCATGTTTCTTATTCTCCTTTAGTCTGAAACAGTTCTTCAATCTTCTTTTGTGTTTCATGACCTCCATAAGTTTGAATCGAATACACCAGATATTTGGTAAAATAGTCTTCAATTTAGATTTGATTGATGTATCCTCATGAGTAGATTCAACTTATGGATTTTTAGCACACAAAAAAATCACAAAAGGAATGCTGTGTACTTTTAGCTTATCATAAGAAGAGAAATATAGTATGTATTTGTCCCATCAATGTGATGTGAACTATCATCACTTGGTTTAGGTGGTATATGCCAAGTTTCATCACAGTAAATATTTGTTCCTTTCTAATTAAAAAGAATTTTGTTAGGAGATATTTTGAAACTATGTAAAAAAATTCTAATTGACTACTCAAATCGGTTGATGATTTTACCCCAATCAGTTATTATCAAGAGGTTGTCATATGACTATCTCCTAATGCCATCATTCCATCTACATATATATATCACTTGGCATTTTATTATATGGAAATTTTTTTTCCTTCTCCTCCACTTATTAATTTTTCATTTGTTTATATCATAATACTCATAAATTCTAGCTTTATTGAGTGAATTGTAATCCATTATTATCATTGATTTTCATACTGAAATTATCCCAGATTTTGTCAGTGGAAATCTCTTCAAACCAAACAGAGGGCTCAGAAACAGATTCACATGAACAACTTATCCTGACTAAGATGGCAAACAAAGTACTGAGAAAAATAAGATATTTTCAATAAATAGGTCTGGGTCAGTTGGATATCTATAAAGAAAAAAATGAATATTGATGTCTATTACACATACACAAAATATAACATAACTAGAAGAAATAAGTTCTAGAGGAGAGGCAAAACAATAGTTTCTAGAAATAATATGGGAGAATATCTTCATGACCATGGAGTAGGAAAAGATTTCTTTAATATACCTATTCTTCACTTATCGACTATCTCCTTATCTGACATTTCACATTTACAGCCATAGTACAAAAAACAAAACAAAAAACACTACTATCCAACTATTTGAGTCCTGGTGTGGTTCTGTGGGTTAATGCACCAGACTGCAAAGCCGTTTGAACTGCAAGGTTGGAGGTTCAAGCTCACCAGCTGCTCCTTGGAACCCCTACACAGGGTCGCTATGGGTTGGAACCGACTCGACGGCACTTCACAACAACAACATCCAACTATTTGGGGCATTAATGACTGACATCGGCAGTAACAAATGCTGAGGTGCAAGGTAAAGAGTAACACAGGTTGTGATAGGTAGCATTATGTGTTGATATGACTGGGCCATGATTATTAGTGCTTTTAGCAGTTAAGTGATAAAGTACTCATCCTCCATTGTGATCTTATGTGGTCATCCTCCATCTTTATATAATACTTATTTCTCATAACCTAACTTTGCGACATAACCATGTCAATATGATGAAGTGGGTTTATTACACACAAACATTAACCATAAAGGAAATATGGATCTTGTATCTTTCCTTTATGGAAAGGTATAAAGGATATATAGGTAGGTGAGAAATGGATATGTTACACAAGAAGCACTAATCATAAGGAAAGAGTTACAACTTTGACTACATTAAAATGAACAACTTTTGCTAACAAAAAGACTGA